CCGACTCTTAATTAAAAGTTCTAAGGATTTGTTCTTAACTGCCACGTGTCACCATGTGATTCGTCAATTTTTTTTGGACAAAGAAAAAATTTTGAGAAAATGAATTCTATTTAAAATAAAATATTTTTATGCCATGTATGTTTGAAATTTTATTAAATGTAATATATTTTTCGTTTTATTCAATGAACTGCAATTACAAAAACAGAGCCGTTCACAAGCATTGGAGTTCTTATTGTCCAAGATGGAAAGGATTTCATTCTTGAGACAATTTTCATTGCATTTTCCCCAACGATTTCACATGGTTTTCAAATCCAAGATGCAAATTCCTTACATCTTGAGGGGGTATTAGCATATATAAATTATGGTTTAATATTGGTTATTATTCTTGGTTTAGTTTCTAGTTTATGTATATTGGATATAAACAACACTTGTACGTTTTGTGCAATTTAATGAAGATTAAACAAAAACACTAAAACAAGGTTATGCGACGGATCTTTACTTCCGGTTGAGTAATCTGGAGCAGAGCGACAAGTATGAATTTGACTGTTACAATCGTCGCGTGAAAAGCGGCGGAGTAGGCGGAGTCATCATCGGATCCCGAGCTTTCTTTTGTTTGACTTGGCATCTCTGTTTTTCGTTATCTCTGTTTTTCGTTATTTCGTTATCTTGTAGCTTTGTTTTTCGTTCAAACTATATGTTATATATAAGGGATATTAATTAGCTTGAATGTTTTGTATATTCTTGAAATTGTTTGAGCGTTGATTAGTATGACGAGATTTTGATCCGCGCTAAATAATTAGGTTGACTAATCGATTTTAACATATATTTTTTAATATTTAAACGTGCATGACAAATCATATGATTTTCAATATCTACAAACGTACAAAAATGATATGTATTATGCATAAATATAATAAAATTAAATATTTATTATCAAGCATATGTTAATACCATTATTTTTGATATTTTTATGTGTAAAAATGATCAAAACATATACAAATGTTATTTCTTCGATATCTTTAAGTGTAAATATCTCATTATATCTTAATTAAGCTATATGCTTTTTTAAGCTTTATAAAAATGATCAAAACATTAAGCCTTTAC